TTTGTTTAATTGTGTACCAGTTTAACGTCGAGTATTGTTTATGATTTTAATTTTATACACAAGTGCCAAAATACTATAATTTCATGCATGTATTTGAACTGACTTCACTATTGTCAAAATCCCTATAAACCAACAGAATGAATTATCTAGAAGTTCATCAAATGGTGACTGGAACACAGGAGGAGCCCAGAACGTTTAATAGATAGTTTGATGATGTTTAAAAAGCTGCAGGTAATTATGTAGAGACTGTTGATAATTAGCTGCAACAACCGGAATATTGTGAACTTAAAGTATAGGCAACTCTTTCAGAAAAGAAGAAAACCATAGTAGATGAATGAACAAATATTTGATACTATTACATTCTATAGGATTCAAGTCCACAACACAATTCTCGACTCAGATTAACGAGAGCATGCGTCGCTGTTTTCCCTCTGGTAGAACACTCCATACACACTTTGTTTGTCTGCACTCTAGGAAATTTCCTGACATAGAAGATCATCTAAACTGGAAGAATTAATCAACCGATTGTTCAAGTTTGATGAAAAAGCCTCAGTGGAAAAGTTAAGATGAGAATTAATCATTCTAATTTTGGAATGGAGTAAGCCGAAGGGATCAGCACTAGATGAATGCGTGGAGAAGGTGGCAGAAAAAACATCTAGGGAATACAAGAGTAAAGATTGAGTGTGATGTTATACGTTTTATCTTTTCAGAAAAAAATGTTCATAATTGTGGGAAAAAAACAACAATATAAATTCTCACTCGATTTTTTAATAATAAATGAATGGTAATGGATCGTTTGTTTGTAATTAAGCACAAAGCTACACAATGGGCTATCTGTGCTCTGCCCACCACAGGTATCGACACCCGGATTCTAGCGTTGTAAGTCTGCAGGCATACCGCTGTGCCATTGGGGGGCGAATGATAATGGAATGCAAGGGATTACTTATAAGCAGTGTATGTGTTAGTATCGTTTTTATTAATTTCACGATGAAGTGTGTAAAAGTCACCTTCGTTTAACTTTATAGAAACGTTTTCTGTGACAAAATGTTTAAGTTTCATGTTTATAAGCTACTAACTGGAGTATCCATCCGTTGGACGGGTGATATAAAAACTCATTTGTAACAAAGGATAGGAAATTGTGCTTCTATTTATTTTTCTTAACATAATAAACTTTAAAAGTGCAATAAAAACACTTAAAGGTACCAATACTGAAAAGAAAGATATACTGTTTTCAATAATTCTAACACTAGTGGTTACGTATATCATTCTAATGCTGAGGGATATACAATATTGGCAGTTTTTCCGAAATTAGATATTAAATTAGAGGGTGGTCCAATCTCCATCCCCTATGACCTTCCACATGTCATCCTGTATCAC